CCCCCCCCCATTGTTCTTTTAATAAACAGGGGGTGTCGAGAAGAGGACAAAAAAATAACGATGGAGTATCATGATAATAAACGAGTTAGGTGGGAGAAATGGGGGAGCGGAGCGGAGGTATTCACCTGTGGCCGCGATCGACCAACCGCATATAATTGAAAGTTTTTTCAGCTTGGACTGGGGCAACTCCCTCGTTCCTCCTCATCGTCCCTCAATATTGTTGTTGGGGTGGGCCGGGGAGAGAACCATTTAATTTTACCATCATAAATTCAAATTAACCATTACTCCCAGTCTGTGCAAGCAATAAATGTCTCAATGTTGTCGCAAAACATGTTTTGAATGAAGACCGTATGATTGTTCCATTTTGACCCATGTACAGTATGACCCGCTTTTGTCTTCTAAATTGTCCATTTTTTGAGGACTGTTAAACCTTATCCCCACTCGATTTACTGAATAAATGAATAAATATTGGACGTAAGCCAAGATACGCTCGTGCGTGTCAATCAAAATAATCACATTGGAATTCAATGCCTCACCCCATTATTTCGGTATGAGCTACACTTTTACTTATCATCAGAGACGTATGCAACAGGTTGTGATGAAGACAGAGAGAAAGGGGTGGCGTGATTTCAAAATGCTTTTATCATTAAAAACAGTCTGAAAAGTGGATCTCAGGGATTTTATGTTGAATACCCAAGGAGGAAAAAAAAAAAGCAGAAAGATGAAGAAATATCCCGGGCCTCTAGTGGAGCTTCGAGTATTTAGAAGCTACTAAATATAGCAGTATAGTATAGGATTCCTAAAGCTCGCTGTAGTAGTGCCCGGTATCGCTGAGCTTTCCCGCTGGCAAAAATGGACGGTTCGTTTCAGTTCAAGCTCTTATTTACCGGTATGCTCATTCATTTGTCATGTTAAATACTCCATTAATCGTTACCAGCTATTTTTTCTTAGTTCATGTGGACGTGAAAAATGTTTTCCCCCGCGAATTGTGTTACAGTTTTCATAACTTTCAATTCATGAATATTTTAATTGGCCTTGTGGTCGCAAGAAACAAGATTAAGTCAATGTTGATGAACCAAGCTCAGTACAGCTTAGGATTTTGTTCCGCGGAGCTTTGATGAGACACAAGCATTTTATAAGACCAACTATTCAATATAAAGTTTGCTCATAAGTCTGGAGGACTGGATGATTTATGCATCGATAATTTTTTTTTCCAACATTTTTGCAAGAGTCACTGATACTGTGACATCTCTGAATTGAAATGGGTGAGATGAGTTAAAAAAGTTGAGAGCTTTTTTTTTTTCAAAGAGATTATATGTAAATTGAAGATATGCAGATTGATATACGTGTTTCAATTAGTGGTGGAAAGCAGCTAGTGGTGAGAATCGGGCTGTAGCATGCCAAGTGATATCCCGCGTCGTTCCCTACTCTCTGCTGTTGGTGGCAGAGGACAAACACGTAAACGAAGAAAACGCAGACAAAGTGTTTGTTGCTGCAGTGCAAGTGGAAATTGAATAGACAAATAAATAAATAAATAAATAAATAAATAAATAAATAAATAAATAAATAAGTGAATAAATAGATAGATAAAACACAGAGGACCCAGAGGTGGACGACAGATGAGCACCAGCGATGGCGTGCCACTGTCGGGTCCCGATATTGGGAACGGGGCCCGTCCCATCAGTGAAACTGGTTATCCCGAAGCCCAGCAAACAGCTGGTCAGTGTCAGGGTCAGGATGGGCTTGGATCATCGAAAGCAGTCCCAGGGGCCACCGCCACTGCAATTGGGCCACCTAAAAGACCGCCCAGAAGGGGCGCTAAACCCACTCCCGACAGACCGGTACGGGCCCTCTTCTGCATGGGCCTTAAAAATCCACTTCGCAAAATGTGTATCGACGTCGTTGAGTGGAAGTATCCTTTTCGTTTACATAATTACCAATGCCTTCAATGCCAAATTGTTTATAATCGAATGGAATTTCAATAATCCAACGAAACACTAGCCACACTCAAAGGAATCCCTGAGCTGTAAAAAGCCTCTCACAAGCATACAATGCCTTCATCCTACAGATAAATGTTCAAATGAAACGTTGAATCTCCCAATATACCCTTACATGCATTGTTCCCTTGTTTTCACAACTTGATACCCTACAAACTTGGACACTCGATACTTGCAATGGCCTCGTTACAATTATCACTCTCTGAAAATCTCACCAGTTGAAAAGTTAAATCCAATGAAACACCACCTAGCACAATGAATTCCTCTGACATTGCCTCGCACAATGTATCCTCGTGTAACCAATTCTATTGATTCTCCTCGTATTCCATTGTTAATCAACAGTCGCATCCAATGAATTTTCCTCAACTTCAATAAATCAGACCCTTCGAGTGGCTCATTCTCCTGACAATTTTAGCCAATTGTGTGGCCCTGGGGGTATACACGCCATATCCTTACGGTGACTCCAATCAAACCAACTTGTACTTGGTAAGCTCAATTAATTTATATATATTTGCAAAAAATTTTTTAAAAAATGAATATATATATGATAATTTTTGATAAAACAACTCAAGTTATAGCTATCTAAATCAATGCAAAAAAAAAAAAAAAATCACTCCCTACACTACAATCTAAAAGATTTTTTTTTTCTCAATTGATCAACAGGAAAAAATCGAGTATGTGTTTCTTGTGATATTCACAGTGGAATGCGTGATGAAGATAATCGCTTATGGTTTTGTGGTTCATCCGGGAGCTTACCTCCGCAACGGATGGAACATGCTCGATTTTACAATTGTTGTAATAGGAATGATCAGTACGATACTGACAATACTGATGAAGGAGGGCTTCGACGTTAAGGCTCTGAGGGCATTTCGTGTACTACGACCACTCCGGCTGGTTTCCGGTGTACCGAGTCTCCAAGTTGTACTGAATTCCATCCTCAGGGCGATGGTACCATTGCTACATATTGCATTATTAGTACTCTTTGTTATCATCATTTATGCAATTATAGGATTAGAATTGTTCTCGGGAAAAATGCATAAAACGTGCAGAAATAATAAAACCGGTGAAATAATGGAGGACCCTCATCCGTGCGGTGATCATGGTTTTCAATGCCATACACTAGGAAGTCAATATGTATGCAGTAAACAGTATTGGGAGGGTCCGAATAATGGAATAACAAACTTCGACAACTTTGGACTAGCGATGTTAACTGTCTTCCAGTGCATAACACTAGAAGGCTGGACGGATGTCCTCTACGACATCGAGGATGCAATGGGTAGTACCTGGCAGTGGATATACTTTGTATCGATGGTGATTTTGGGGGCGTTCTTCGTGATGAACCTCATTCTCGGTGTATTGTCGGGAGAGTTCTCTAAGGAAAGGGAAAAGGCCAAGAACAGGGGGGAGTTCCAGAAATTCAGGGAGAAGCAGCAGATCGAGGATGACCTTAGGGGATATCTCGATTGGATAACACAGGCCGAGGACATCGAGACGGAGCACGACGAGATGCCCAGGATGCAGAGTAGAAAATCCAAGCCAGAGGATGAGATGGAGAGTACAGATAGGCTGGAGGGGGACGAGGAAAGTGCACACCAGGTGTCCTTGTGGGAGAAGAAGCGGAAAGAGTGGAAGGAAATAAACAAAAGGGTAAGGAAGGTGTGCCGAATGGCAGTAAAATCTCAGGTGTTCTACTGGCTCATCATCATCCTCGTTTTTCTCAATACCGCTGTCCTGGCGACCGAGCACTTCCGTCAGCCAGACTGGCTCGACTGGTTTCAAGAGTACACCAATATGTTCTTCATTGCTCTTTTCACCATGGAGATGATGCTCAAAATGTACAGCTTAGGATGGCAGAAGTATTTTTTATCATTATTCAATCGTTTCGACTGCTTCGTTGTCATCGGATCCATCACTGAGATGATCCTCACCAATACAGAAGTCATGCCTCCACTCGGTATCTCCGTTCTCAGGTGTGTCAGGCTTCTCAGGGTCTTCAAGGTGACAAAGTACTGGAGGTCCCTCTCCAACTTGGTCGCTTCCTTATTGAACTCTATACAGTCCATTGCTTCTCTGTTGCTTCTACTCTTTCTATTCATTGTCATCTTCGCGTTACTGGGAATGCAGGTCTTCGGAGGCAAGTTCAATTTTGATGATCTCCAGGACAAAACCAGAAGTAATTTCGACAGCTTCTGGCAGAGCTTGCTAACCGTTTTCCAGATTCTCACGGGAGAGGATTGGAATGCTGTCATGTACGAGGGCATTCGGGCTTATGAAGGGGTTACCGGTTACGGAATTTTTGCCTGCGTTTACTTCATCATTCTATTCATCTGTGGAAACTGTATCCTTTTTTTCATAACCTTTTTAAACAAGACATGACTTTTATAAAAATAAATGAATAAAAAAGAGAAAAAACATTGATCGTATTTTCCTTAGTAGATGATGAAACGGTAGATATACTTTTGAACGTCTTCTTGGCCATCGCCGTGGATAATCTGGCGGACGCTGATCAGCTGACAACAGTGGACAAAGAGGAGGGGGATAAGTCCCACGGTGGATCACCGGCTAGAGACGAATGCAGCGGTGAAGAATGCATTCATGACGACGAGGACATCGGCGACATGACCAGTGGCGAAGAGGATCCCGGCACTGACGTTGAGCAGTACGAAAACGAGGGTGACGATTACGAGGGACAAGATACTGAGGGCTCAAAGGACGGGCACGATGGTGGGCATAAAGTCAGAATAAATGTTCAATCTGATGGGCATGGTTACGAACCTTTTGAATCAGGTGAAGGTGAGGATGACTACGATCACATGGAGATGGATGAGATTGAGGGAGGACCAGAAGTCATATCTGCCCGACCAAGGAGAATGTCCGAGTATAATATAACGACGGAGAAGCCACCGATTCCCGAGGGATCAGCCTTCTTCGTGTTCTCCAAGACCAATCGATTTCGAATTTTCTGTCATTGGTTCTGCAATCATAGTTATTATGGAAATTTCATACTCGCTTGCATTATGATTTCTTCGGCTATGTTGGCAGCTGAAGACCCACTCAAGGCCACTTCTGAACGCAATATTGTAAGATTCATAAGATTTTTCCATGGTTCTCTTATTTTACTCTTGTTGCTACAGTAAAATTATTGTCTATTGCAAAATTTTTATTTTCATATTGATTAATATCAGATGAAAGGAATCCCATATTTGTCTAATTGCAGATCTTGAATCGTTTCGATTATTTCTTCACAACTGTATTTACTATCGAAATCTGTTTAAAAATGGTCTCTTACGGATTCGTACTGCACGACGGTGCATTCTGTCGTTCGGCCTTCAATCTTCTCGATCTCCTGGTGGTCTGCGTTTCCCTCATATCCATAGCATGGAGGTGAGTAAATAAATTTAAACAAGTTAACTGATATAAATAGGAGAAGTGCATTTATCATCGTCATCATTATCATCATTTAAACTGCAGATCGAGTGCAATTTCCTTTGTTAAAATCCTACGTGTGCTGCGCGTTCTCAGACCACTGCGTGCAATCAACCGTGCCAAAGGCCTTAAGGTATAAATGATAAATCACTATGAAAACTATCTATATGAAAACTAAACACTTGACAAACCATTGGAGTAATTATCACCTCACCTTCGAGTACTCAAATGATTTAGTGCTGTCAGCAGGATCGCTAAGTATATTTTTTACATCAGTCAAATTAGCCATGTAAACTCTTCTATTCTGGAGTTTAGTCGTGCATAATTGAATGATAATATTGCCAGATGGGTTAGTTGGGTACTCAGGAGAATAGGTCAAGGGTCAATTTGAGAAAATATGAGGTAGATAAAGGGCTAACTCAATAGGATATTTCAGCAGTAAAGTGGTCAAGTGAGATGAGGAAACATATTGTGAGTTTAGATAAAACTCACAATATGGAATAATATCTATTACTCTGTAATAATATTCTGATATTCTAATTTGTAAAAATATTGATGTTGAAAAGTATTGGAAGGAGAGAAAAAATGCTGTTTGTCTTGTTCCTTCGATTTACCATGATTGGTTTGTCTACTCATCTCGCTCCACCACTTCACCTCTGAATTTCATAACAAATAATGAATAAGTTGATAAATTAGCACGTAGTCCAATGCGTCATCGTAGCGGTAAAGACTATCGGAAATATAGTCCTCGTCACCAGCCTCCTGCAGTTCGTCTTCGCCGTTATCGGCGTCCAACTCTTCAAGGTACGCCGCAAAGGCATCAGAAGGACATTCCGGGTTTTTTTTCTCTCTCTCTCTCTCTCTCTCTCTTTCCATCTACTTGATGTGTTATTTCCACCAGTCTAATGATTTATCACACATAGAATTGCCTTTCCCAGCCATTTTGTTTTCACATTACCTCATTTTATTATTAGTGAGTGTATTAGTTTCTCTTACTGCACCCCTGATTCTTAATACCTTCCGAATTATCGAATTTTATTTTCCTCGTTTTATTGACTTATTACTAGCTTATTTTTTTATATGAAACCATGGCTCTCCCAATGCACCTTTCGGCTTTCGAGTTCTCCGCCTTGATATGATTTTTGTTTGATTCATGAAGGGATTACACTGTTAGAATAAACTGTTGAAATTCCAAGAGACAATTGATATTGATTTATATTTTCGGAAGAGATAATTTTCAATTTATAATATAAAAATTCCTTGAAATTTCAGTAAAAAATGTTTAACAGTGCACGCGCATCTGTATACTCTGCATGCCTCCCATAGTTTATCTTTGCAGTGGTGTGTCTCGCTGTATTAACATTCGACATTGTGATATTTAATTATCGGATTAATGCGGGCGTGCCAAGCGAAATTCTTAAGGTGAAAGAATTGAATGTTGCCTTGTATAGAGAATTCATGAAATAGATAATGCGCCGAGAGGTGCATTGCCGAGGGTTGAACCGGTAGATTATGCTAGAAGAGGGGGCTAGACGAATTGGATGGATGGCGAGGGCTCGATCCGAAGGGGCTTTAAGACTGCTCTCAAATGAATCAATAAAAGTAAATTAATCCGATTGATTTAATAGTAAGAGTGGAATTCTTTGTAGCCCTATTGATAAAATAGTACCTTTACAGTCCTGGCCCCTACTCAACTAACTCACAGTACGAGCAAATCTTCAATAAAACTCTTTAAATTAATGACTAATGATGTTCCTTCTCAACGAAATGGATTTTTTTTTTTGTTTGTTCCACCTACCTGTGTCTGCCTCGTGTACCGTCTTGACATACTCAACTTCTTGCTGTACCTCGCCCTGCTCGATACAAATTCCCAACAAAATCGTACGATTTAATAAAATCATCGGCAATGTGGAAATAATGAACGATGAAATATCAAAGTATGTAGTCAAGTGTGTGATTGTCGCCATTAAAACAATCGGCAATATTATGTTGGTTACCTACCTCCTACAGTTCATGTTCGCTGTTATCGGGGTACAGCTCTTTAAGGTAAAACATCAGTGCATGTTCAAAAATTCTTACAGTTTGGTACATTCATATTGTGTAAATATATCAACTATTTTAATTTCAAAGCATGTGGCACTTATTATAAATAGTTTGAGGCGAAGAGTATTTCAAGGAGATAACTGTACATAAAATATTCTTTTCGAATATTCTATTTTTACCATTTTTTTCATAATACATCAATTGGCTCCACTATAGAATTGGAATTTTTCGAAAAGCAATTTAATGTCACAGATGTCATTCAACTGGAATGATAAAAATATCAATAAGTTAGCGAGTCTTGCAACTGGCTTTCAAGTAAAATTAGATTTATCGACGTGTAGCTCTATATAAAGTATATTAATTAGCAAAGGAAGAATCTCTTCTTCTCTGTATTATCAATCACGATATTAATAAGTGTTATGAAACAATGTATTCCTTTGATGTCCGCAGATGCATGAATTTATGAAACAACCGAGAGATTGCGAAAGCGTCGAAAGGGGGCAAGTTTCGTTTGAGTGCGACACCCTCTGGAACTCCTTAGAGCTCAATATCAATATCAAATAGCTTTGTCTTTTAATTGAATACATCTCTCCTCATGTTGAATAATTAATTTAATTAGTGGTGTACAAATAGAGTGATTTATGGGATCTGTTCGCACCATCATATCTTGTCGCGCATTTTACATATTACACTGACATCAATGAATTTCGTTTGCATGCGCCTTTATTTTTTTTTATAATACGAGAATGTTCTGATTTGATATTTGTAGCATCTCGAGCACGAGTGCACGCAACATACACGTCTTTCGACAAAAGTCCAGTTATTTTTTCTCTTATTTGAGTAACCGATTGCAGTTTTCCATGCCTTGCATATCGCATATAATTCAATGGAAATAAAAAATAATATTTTCATCGTGTGATTGACGTTTTTTTTTTGTCGTTTTGATCGCAGGGGAAATTCTTCCAGTGCAATGACGTGTCCAAAATTACAGAGGCCGAATGCCAGTGAGTTTAACAACTGATAATGAGTATATGTACCATTTGTAGATGATTTTTGTTTTTTAATTGGGGAATTTATTTGTTTGTGACTTGCAGCGGAACGTATTTGATTTATGAGGAGGGAAATATAAACAGACCAGTGATGAAGGAGAGATTGTGGTCGCGGAATCGTTTTCATTTTGATGATGTGGCCAAAGCCATGTTGACACTATTCACAGTATCAACTTTCGAGGGATGGCCAGGGTGAGAAACAAAAAATAACAATTTAAGTGCTATATGATTAATGATGTCATAATATATTTGCAGACTGCTATATGTATCAATCGATTCTAATCGTGAAAGCTACGGACCAATACACAACTTTCGTCCAATAGTAGCAGCCTATTACATTATTTACATTATTATCATAGCATTCTTCATGGTGAATATATTTGTGGGTTTCGTCATTGTGACGTTTCAAAATGAGGGTGAACAAGAGTACAAAAATTGTGGACTGGAAAAAAATCAGGTGACCCTTTTGAATGCACCTCGGCTTATTCAGCAGCACGAAAATTTATCTAAAAATCATATCACTCAAATGACTGAGCAATAAATTTATTCTAGCGTAACTGCATCGAGTTTGCACTGAAAGCCAAACCGGTACGTCGATATATACCCAAGCATCGAATTCAATACAAGGTCTGGTGGTTCGTGACGTCTCAGCCATTTGAATACACCATTTTTACTCTCATCATCATCAATACCATCACTCTTGCCATGAAATTCTACAATCAGCCAGATCCTTATACACATGCTCTCGACGTACTCAATATGATCTTCACTGCTGTTTTTGCACTTGAGTTTGTCTTCAAACTTGCTGCATTTAGATTTAAAGTGAGTGACAAATCTCTTACACTCACAATACTGTAACACCTTAAAAAATCATACAGTAAAATATACAATGATCAAATTATTCCAAACAAAAATTGCCTATTGCAATTGTCGTTATTTCAGAATTACTTCGGAGACGCCTGGAACGTCTTTGACTTCATAATAGTACTCGGTAGCTTCATCGACATTGTTTATTCTGAAGTACACGTAAGTAACTTAGTATCGTAGAGACTCAATAATTTTCTAGAGAACAATGAATATGTTATAATTTATCATAGTCACAGACAAACACTGGACCACCCACTGTTGAAAATGTATAATTTGATTTTTATATTTCTTTATGCGTCACATTTCTTTCCTTTCTAGGCACGACTGCATGTGAAGGCAGGAGGTAGCCTCCCCACCAAAGTATGTAATGTGATCGGAAAAAAAGTATGCGTGGAATGTGCGTGTATGTACTATGCGCGTGTGTGAACCCCACTCAAGTTAATTCCATCCCCCGTGATTATAGCTTCAATCCATCTTCACACTTCCTCAATTGCAAAATTGCACGTACCAACCTCTATACATGTTTAATTATATTATTATCATTTATTCGTCAATGCGTTGTGAGAACGTTCACTTTTTCAGTCCATTCTTAATTTTTTTTTTATTTATTTCTTTTTTAAAGAAAGTGCGAGGTTTTTTTTTCAGATTTTTTGTTCATACGTGAATTCATGACACTGAGAATTCACATTTAGCTTTTACTGGAAATTTTTTAAAAATGTCTAACAGTGGATTAACGATGCGTGTCTCATACAGAGCTGGGGGGGGGGGGGCTTGTACAAGCGAATGGAAATAATTGATTATTTATAATTAAATAATGAATTTGCTAGTAGCAATTGGATTTATTTTAAAAAAATGCAGTACTTTTTTCCTCAGCTCTGGCCTTGTTCCTAGTACAACTTAATGCAGTTTCCAACGTACATTTTATTTTATTGATTTATATTATGATTTCTAGTTATTTTTAGTTGTAGTCTTGCATGTGGCTGTGCCACACATCCCTGTGTCTCACGCTCCCAATAATCTCCAAAAAAAAGGAAAAAAAAAGAAAGTCAAAAATAAAAAATTGGAGATCATTGTTAATTTTAAAGAGATTATAGTGAGAATATACTCGTCATCTCCTCCCATTGAATTGTTTTACAGCCGGGTACGAACATCATCTCCATCAATTTCTTCCGTTTGTTTCGGGTGATGAGACTGGTAAAGCTCCTCAGTAGAGGTGAAGGCATTCGAACACTACTCTGGACATTCATCAAGTCCTTCCAGGCATTGCCCTATGTCGCTCTCCTCATCGTCATGCTGTTCTTTATTTATGCAGTTATTGGGATGCAAGTTTTCGGGAAAATCGCGTTAGACAATGGGACTACAATTTACAGGAACAATAACTTCCAGACGTTCCCGCAGGCTGTTTTGATATTATTCCGATCGGCTACAGGTGAATCATGGCAGAATATAATGCTGGATTGCTCGTACCGTCCACACGAAGTCAAGTGTGATCCCGAATCGGACGACGTTGACAAGTCGAGCTGCGGCAATGACATCGCATTTCCTTATTTCATATCATTCTACGTCCTGTGCTCATTCCTCATCATCAATCTTTTCGTCGCCGTTATCATGGATAATTTTGACTATCTCACTCGCGACTGGTCAATCCTGGGACCACACCACTTGGACGAATTCATTCGCTTGTGGTCTGAGTATGATCCAGATGCAAAGGGTCGCATAAAGCACCTCGATGTTGTAACCCTTTTACGCAAGATATCGCCGCCCCTTGGTTTCGGCAAACTATGTCCACACAGAGTCGCCTGCAAGAGACTAGTCTCCATGAATATGCCCTTGAACAGCGATGGAACAGTTTTGTTCAATGCTACATTGTTCGCCGTTGTGAGAACTTCATTGAAGATCAAGACAGAGGGCAATATTGACGACGCCAATGCCCAACTCAGGGCGGTTATTAAGAAGATTTGGAAGAGAACTAGCCCCAAGTTACTCGATCAGGTTGTACCACCACCTGGGGTCGACGATGAGGTGACGGTGGGGAAGTTTTACGCCACTTTTTTGATTCAGGATTATTTCCGAAGATTTAAAAAGCGCAAGGAGCAGGAGATGAAGGAGGGAGATAAGGATTGTCATAATACAGTTACGTTGCAGGCTGGTCTGAGGACACTTCATGAAGCTGGCCCTGAATTGAAGCGAGCTATTTCTGGAAATCTTGAAGAATTGCTGGATGATAATCCTGAGCCAATGCACAGGGTGAGACTTTGTCTTTTCTTCTCCATGTTATAATTAAGAATTCAATTGGAACAGTTCATCATGTTTTTATAGCGGAATCATTCACTGTTCGGAAGTGTTTGGTCCAGTATGCGTCGAGGTCACCACAGTTTTCGAGGAAAATCCTTGAAAACTCCAGCCAACTCAGCCCCCAAAATCTCACCCTCAAACTCCATAGACTTCCTTCCCTACGTCTCTCTCCACAGGCATGGCGCAGTTGACAACCAAATAACCGCGAGATCGCATCAGGTTGTGCCGAACGTCACCGGGTAAGTTTCATTCGTCAAACGTCAACTTAGGAATAAGAAGAAGAAGAAGAAGAAGAAGAAGAAGAAGGCAAATTAATTCATCGATATAGAATCATTCAATTAATGTAAATTGGGAAAATTTTTAGGGTGACTGGAACTCCCCTGAACTCGATGGGAATCGAGGAGAATATCCCGATGCGTCCCTTGGCCATGTTTGCAAACACAAATTCTGGAATGCAGCCAGGGAACTACCAAAACCCATACAAAGTGTTAGAGTAAGTAAGAAAAATCCTCAGAATATTCCTATCTTGGCGGATTGATTAGTGCACGGAAATTAGTACGGTGCATCCTCGACTCAATTCATCCAAAGCAAAAATGAAATTCAAGGGAAATCCATATCTGTGTAGACTGTGAGCCCTACCCTACCCTCTTCGTTTATTCGTTCACCCATTTATATCCAAATTACTCTCCAAATTATTCGGCTTAATTTCCATGGTTGTTTCCACTGCTTCTGTTTTACTGTCGTAAATTTCAGTGGCCCAGATGGCAGTCGCTATCTCCATCCAGGCAATGAGTACGGTAAGAATACGTTACACATTGAGTTGATTGATGATTGATTGCTTTAATCTAGTGATTGCAGTGCTTTATCGCATGGCCCTCACTATAATAATTTAATCCAGCGTTTATGGCACGATTATCGATGCATTAGTGCATCAGGGCACCTCCACCTCGGTGTGGAGTGTGGGTGTGAGTGTGAGTTCGAGTGTGAGTGCGAGTGTGAGTGTGAGTTAGTTTATTACTACTATTACTAGATGTCAAGTCATTCCAATCCGGTAATAATAACGATTAAGGAAATTGGAGAAATTGAATTAAGTAGTTTGGTTCTCGATATCAAAATTGTCCCCCTCTTGTTATCCCCATCGGCGTGTATTGTGTGCAGTCTCGAGGATGGAATTGAGCAGCAGTTGACACCACCCACACCACCACCCCGACGGAATCTGCCACCAAGTGGTGGGGCCATAACATTCGCCACAGGCACCAGTGGAAATGCTGAATCAAGTAGTGCAACAGCAAGTCGCACACCCTCGCCAACCCTAAGTCCATCGCCATCATTCGCATCTTCATCCAACGAAGGGGCGCATTACTACGCGTATGCAACGCGTGGATGCTGCCCCGATTCCACACCAGGGTGGAAGCATCAGCATGGTACGATTAATTCCCATAAGAAAAATGTTGGTTCAACCCCTAAAAAATATTAAAATTCGTTTCAATTCGTTATTATTTTATTTATTCGGATGATGGATCAATTTTAATGCACGACTTGCACTTTATTCGATATATTATTTAAACTTATATCTCTTTTATTATTTATTTTCCATCGAGTGGAAATGATTTTTATAAAGAAAGAAAATCGACGAGTCAGTCTGTGTTGTCTTGTCTTTCTCTGTGGTGCACTGGGATATTCAGCAGACGGAAATGAAGATAAGGTGATTGAAGTTGATAAGGAACAGGTGTCGCCAAATGAGGGGAATGCAGATGTAATTCATCGTGAACGGAGCAAGCAGGGCTCGGCCAAAAGATTGTCAAAACGCTTGTCTAATCGCTCAAAGGGCTCGTCGAAACGTTCGAGCAAGCACAGGGAGAGTTCGAAATCTCGAAAGTCTCACAAGAGTGAAGATGATGATGATGATCCTAAGGACTGTTCACATGGAGAAAGAAGTATTGCTAATGGGCTCAAGTTGGCGCAGACACAGGCCATTGCTGTTGCTGGATTCTTGGCTGATGTTGATGCCCATCAGTGGCGCGTTTGCGAGTCCTGTTTGCCGCATCGGGCCTCCTTTCACGGCAGAGGTGATGTTCCAGAACAAAAAAAAAAAAAACAAAACAAAACAAAACAAAACAAAATGTTGAGGGATATTTTGAAGTCGAGAGGGATTGGAGTTGCTCGATGCATGCACTATCTGAGCTTTTGTACACTAACCCAATTAACAATGCTTTGCAAGGCACGCGTTTTTTTTTTTTTTATATACGGAACCACAGAGTATCACACTTTATTGTCATTTTAATTATTTACCTGGTGTACTCGAGAGTGGACCAGGATTGTCTCACCTGGTAATTATTATTATCGTTTTCTGTTCTTCTTATGTGAGATTTTTTGTCGAGCATTGAATGAATGCCCTGAGTACATCGGGTAAGAGGCATATGGAACGCAATTTTTAATGCTGAATAGTCTTATATCGTTTTCAACAGTTTCATGGGCCGGTGAGAGTAATGGCGGCGTTGGGTCAGAGAGATTGTCACATAGTTTGCCAGGCAGCCCCTCCGATAGGAAGCCCAACTTTGAGGTGATTGGTAGCGCTGAGAGTCTGGTGGGACGGGTGAGTAAATGCATCAATGCATCAATATTTTGCCGAAAACTTATCAAACTTGCTACAAGACATAACCATTGTCATTGGTACATGAACAGGTATTAGCTGAGCAAGGACTAGGTAAATACTGTGATCCAGATTTCGTACGTTACACGTCGCGCGAAATGCAGGAGGCTCTTGACATGACTCGAGAAGAAATGGATCGTGCGGCACACCAGCTGTTGCTCCGCGAGCGTCGAGGACAGCCTTTGACCTTTCAACTCCAGCAGAGTATGGATCAACACTGGAATCCAAGACCACAAGGCCCACGTGAAGTAGCTTATGAACAACTGCGGGAACAAATGCCCTCATTAGACCAGCCGCAATTATCCCTTCAACCTCAGCCACAGCAACAGCACCAACACCAACAACAAATCTATCGCGAACAACCACCTTCTTAGCGGCTAACAACTCTCCAGGTAACACACCTACCATTCATTACCAACGAATTACCACCCATATTATTCACCGCTTTTATTTTGACATTTATCTTGTAAACCACCAAGTCAACAATATAATACATAAGGCCAATTCGCGTTATCGTTTGCCTCAATTTTTTTATCCATATTTACTGAATAAAAATAACCAATAGAATTGTTCAATGCATGAAACACTTAGTTATTGTTCAATACAAATTGTAAAACCATTATTAATTACAATAATTAAAATCTCTTTTTCCACATCTGTTTTAATTTCTCAATTCAGATAAAATACTTGGAACGATCATTAAATCTTTCTATCATAACTATCATCTATAATAATTATCAATTTTAATAAAGAGTTAATCTCATTGTTAACAAGTACGCTCGTCTAAAACAAAAGAATAACTGTCATTAAATTTCAAAGATAGTCTGCATCAAGGTAAATGAACAAACTCGATGAATAAATGAAAGAGCAGTTACGTAGTTATATTGTTATACAGTCCTATTTCACAATTTTTAATGGTCGTCATCATCTGTAGTATTCGGAGGGGGATTATTATAATCATCGATAGAATGGGTGTAGATCAATGAATGGAGATAACCAAAGAAATATATATAAATTCATAAATACAATATATAAAACTATATATACATAACAAGTGCCTAAGTATTTAATAATAATTAATTTCGGACCAGAGAATACCTTTTATCAATGTAGAGACAAACAAAAAAAAAAAAAAACGTTAATTACTGAGTTTTTAATAATAAATTGTTCTTCGATCGTATACGCATCTGCATTCGACTGGAAAATGAGATAAAATCAAGTCCTCATAGTGTGAAAGCTTCACTCATTACACCATGGGGTTGAAAGATTGTTAAACTGAAAAACAAAAGTATAATAATTTGAAAGCAAAGTAAGGGGGCATGAGGGAGGAAGGACATATGAAGCACGAGTGAACTAATTATATACAGTAAATAAATTTTTAAAAATCTTATCATGTAAAACTCGCTTTTCGACGTTGTCCTTATCATATTTACCATTTACCATCTTTGTCTAAATATCTTTTTATACTCAGAACAAATTGTAAATGAGGGATTTACAAATGTTGAAATATGCGCTTGATAAAGTATAATTCGGTGGTGAAATGACGAAACAGAAATCAATATTTTTGTTTCTTGACGAGCAGTTGAATTGTGAAAATGTTGAAATATTGGAGAATCTTGGAAACTGAGTTCAAGAGTATTTGCGACAAGGATAATTCATCTGGAAGTCGATTGGTTGTTTTCCCACTCCCTTATTCAATTGAAATGATTAGAAATTTTATTCTGTCCATCCCACAGCGTTTATAGGATTTTACTGTGATTAAAAATAATAAAAAGAAAAAATTACAGGGGCTTCAGTGTTAACAATAAACAAAAAGAATTCACTCTCGTATTTTTATCGAACTGACAATTGTTATATCTATTGGATTTTTATCCGCTAAATCCCCCCCCCCCCCAGCCCTGCTTGAATATACTCATTATTTAGAATTGAAAACCAATTGCGACCAAATACTTTGCACAAAAGGGGTAGGTGCAATGTTTTTTATTATGCAGCTGATAGGTCATTTACTGAGTGCCTGATTTTATAAGTGGCATTGCCACCATAAGTCCAGCAAAACACTATTTGTTTGGTAATTTGAATTTTTATTCAGCTTATCTTGGAATACATTGATAAAATAATATGAATAGAAATCCATCGAAAAATATTGGAAATTTAGATTGAGCCGTATTATAAGAGGAATACTAGAGTGATACTCAGAGAGAATAATTACAAATGTATTAGAAAATGATGGAGGTGGGTTGACTCTATGGAGAATGATGACATGACAACGGACTTTATTTGAACATATTTTTCCTCGTGCCGTTGATGTAAAGATTTATTTGTTGAATATTATTGTGTATAAATATATACACTTGTATTACGAGTTATTCACAGAGAACTTGAAAATTAATAAAATTGATATATGAAATTAAGTGATACCGGTAATGAGTGGCATTGATAACAATGTAGATAGGAAATTTGCACGATTCTGTTAATGTAATTTTAAAGGAATATGAAAATTCTAAACACCGTATCATCCTCATTAAATCGTGTATTGGACATTGTTTATCTTTAATGGAATATTGTAATCGTTTATAATTGATTTATATAAATAGAAGACTCACGTGGAGCTTCAATTTATGGGGAACCAAAAAAATTGTAAATAAATAATGAAAATTATTGCACGAAATATTCATTTATTTGTGGCATATCGTTGAAATGCTAGCTTATCAAGATTATATTTTTTTAATGGATCTAATATTAAATTCTATTGCTCAACGTGGATATGAATAGAGAAAGATTGGTGCATTAATCATGTATCAAAAGATCGTTTGAAATTCATTGTATTTGCTAATATTTTACAAGCCGATGTACAGTGTGCCGGAATATTTAATTCTCCCCTTCATTATCTAAAATACATTTAATTCAGGCGCACACAATCACTCGCGGCTATTGTTTAACGTTCTGCGCTGCCTTCTTTGCTTTAATCAGCTCCACAAGTTCCTGTAAAAAATTCAATTCCATTATTAATGATACTCTTGGTAGTATTGAAAGGAGAAGAAAAAAAAAAACATAATCTAACATATATACCTTGTATCGTCTCATACAGTCCTTCTTAGTTCTACTAGGTATGCACCCAGCAATGAGATCCCACTTCTCAGGTCCTGTAGTAGTGGAGTAAGTCTTGAGTGCTTGTTCAAGAAGCTGCTGTTCAGCGGGTGTCCAGGGCTGATTGCCAACAATAGGAGGATCGAGCCTCTCAGTGACAGCGGGCATCCTCTCATCAATGGCATCTTTGCTCTTCTTTTCCGCAATAAAATTATCAAAAGCGTTTTTATTAGCCTGCTCCTTCATACTAGACTTGCTAAAATCCGTTGACTGCAAGTCCTTTGCTTTTGCAAGCACCTCCTTGGCATTTCTGGTAACGCCATTACTGGTATGTTGATTGATAAAATTGGCAACGACTTCCCAACGCTGATTAGTCCCAGCAGGAAAAAGATTGACAGCCTTAATCAACAGTTGAAGATCACCCTCAGCCCATGGAAACTGACAGCCCTTGATTTGTTTTTCGTGCGAATTGTTTCGAACATCTGAATAATTAATCACCTGAGCTTTCCTCTCAGCCTCTATTCTACTTTCAGTGTCAATAACAATCCTCAAAAAGCCATTCCTCCCGTCTCTCTGAATCTCCCTAGTGGCCTCTTCGAGCTCATTGAGCTTAAACAACTCGCAGAACTTCTCCACACACTCCATATGCCTTATACTCTCAGCAGGACTCTCGGAAAAATAATTCTGTGACTTGCACAGGTCCCTCAGACCCTTCCTCTCCTTCTTGAGGGCCTTCTTCTGCGCCTCTCGCTCCTGCTTCAAGGCATCCTGCCTTGCCTTCTCCTCGCTTTCTTTCTTCATCTTCTCCTCTCGCTCTTTCTCGGCAGCCTCTTTAATAAGCCTCTCCTCTTCCAATTGTCTGGCTTTGGCTGCCTCCTGTTTGGCTCGCTTTACAGCTGTCTTTTTGTCTTTATCCTCCTGTTGAAATTTCTTGATCCTGGGATCTGCGTTGTAAGCCACATCAACTAGAGTTCGAATTCTCAGCATCTCCTCCTTTTTTCGTTTTGCCCTGGTGGCTTTATTTTTCTTCTCAATCCACTTTCTCATGTCTCGATCCTGTCCACTCTCCTTGTCCTCCTCGTCGAGATAAGAGTACTCCCTCCACGAGTCAAAGTCATACCAGAATGAATAAAATCTCTCGACGTTATCCCGCGGGGTCTCTGGATCGCCAAGTTTTGGTACTGGTTGCTTTATCGACCACCTGGCATTCGCTTCAAATGCCTTTCCCATGGTCTCGTAGAACTCCACTTTGGCATCTTTCTCATCGGGAAGATCGTCATTGAAGAATGGGTCTGTACTGTCGTAACTTCGTCTCTTGACAGGGTTTCCCAGCATCTCCCAGGCCCGTGTTATGCATGTAAAGTAATCGTCGTCCGGGCGAATTTCTTCACCCATTGCTTTGCGCTTGTCTGGATGGTGTTTTAGAATTTTCTGCTTGTAGGCTCGCTTTATTATGTCCTCCGACGCCTCGAATCGCAGCTGCTTCAGTCCCAGGACTGCGTAGTGATCCTGATTCTTCCATTCTTTGGGATCGAGCGAGCGCAAGTACTCGAGATCGTCCTCTATGAGATTCTCTTCTTCGTCCTCGTCGTCTGTCGACTCGGGGCTCTTATTATTTATTGAGTTGCGCTCAAAGCGGATTTTCAAATGTGTCGTGTGAGTTATTGCATGGAGCACTACTGGCCCCGCCAACTGCACCTTTATTTTATGCACCTCTGAGGACATAACATTGAAATATTTACTTTGACAAATGCTTAACCATGTTTTATCAACATAATATTCCTGAAACTTTTTCATTTAGAGAGCGATAAAAATATTTACATATCTCCATTGAACTCTGAAATATTTTATAACCTCTGGATTAACATGAATACTAAAGGCAATCTAACTTACGTGAAATGGTATTGAATATGATGCACTCATGCTCCGGTCTCTCCTCCGGGGCAATTAGAGTCGTGTCCATGGGTGATGATTAGTTCAGATGAATTCACTCAATTTACCAACAATTTTTTAACAAAGCATGTATGTGGCTCACACAATGTACGATGAATGAGGTCTTATGCAGCCTGTTTGGCCTTGTGAGGTTAACTTTGCTTTAGTGCTCGAATGGAAGATTTTTTTATTTTTTTCCCGGGGATATGACGATACTACGCCCTCCCACTTTGTGGCTGAAAAAGAAAGTTCAGTTGCTAACACGCTCATCTGCGCCGATTTCCAAATTTCAATCCCCCACGAGCTCTACTTCAACCGTCCAAACCGTCTAATCTCCGAAAGACACGTCAAAGTTTTACGTGTCTCAACAATTTGCCTCCACCCAATATCAATTATATGATATACCATTTTGATAAAGTGGCCCTTTACTATGTCTGTTACCTCAAGTAGAGCATAACCTACTGAATAATCTAATACACTTTCTTGTGCACTTCCATTTATTAATCTAATGTTGCCATATATTTTGCTAACTATTTTAGTCCTCCAGGGCATTTATGCGGGTCCTGAGGAAGAACACGGTGTTAAATATGCAAGTAAATGTGAAGGTATGTGAACAAATATACTGAGAAAAATATTTAATTATTAACAATTATTTTTTGCATGGAAAAAATTCACTCGAATAAATTTATATTTCGAAAAATAACATTTATTCTCAACGTCTATTATTAATTTTCATGTTTTATATATTGGACTAGTTTGTAAAGTCCTGGCTCTTGAGCTTGAATCTAGGCTCAATGAAACTGGTAAGAGTCACGATGTCCTGGAACTCGGATACTCCCTGGATGATGTAGCACCGAAGAAGAAAAAGGAGTACAGGAAGTCGTAAGATCACTTTTCCATAGCATAGGGTTCCAATCAACATTGAATATCATTTCAAGTTGCAATTTATATTATCCCTGCTTCTACTTCATCTCAATTTACTCTACATTAAAGAAAAAGGGAATAATTTTTCAAAATTCTAGGGAATTGAGATTAGTAGAATCTCTGGAGAACGTCTGTGAGAGAATTCTTCAATACAACGTTCACAAAGAACGCCACGATAGCACCAGATTCGCAAAAGGAATGAGTCAAACATTCCAGACGCTTCACGGTCTAGTGTAATGCATCAACTCATTATTAATGACGATTTATCGACTTATTTAGAATTGATAAAGTGCATTAATATCATTACAGGGACAAAGGAGTCAAAGTGGATTTGGGAATACCATATGAACTCTGGGACTCGCCTTCCGCGGAAATTACAGATATGAAAACTAAGTGCGAAGATTTATTAGAGAATTATGAGACTGATATTGAAGTCTGGTATTATCTCAGTCCTGAGGAGAAACCTTCATTGGGAACGTAAGATCTTAAATTACTTTATCAAAATCTTTTATAATTGATTATCAATTATAGAACCAGTAACAAATGTTTTTTGTTTTTTGTGTTTTTTATTTTTTTTTTTTGTTATTTTTGTTTATTTCAAGGTACTTATGTGCGGAGAGAGCGCTGAGCAATGAGGACGCCTCGTGTTTGAGAGAAAAGGGAGACGTAGGTGCCTTGAAAATTGAGGGAGACAAGCCAAAGAAGAAGGAACAGAACGATAAAATGAAGAAAAAAAAGTCAGAAAAGAAAGCAAAGGCCAATAAACAAGAACTCTAATACGATTCTGCAATTCACCGAAAAAATCCAACACATTATGGAACTTGAGAGAAACCTATTCTTGACAATAATCGAAGATTATTCTTTTTCCTTGTTACCACGAGATCCGTGGCGCCGACCAAAAGAAAAAAAAAGAAAAAGCAACCTCTCATAATCCTTTTATTTACATGTGGACATTACTCTATCAAATTGTCAGGTTCTATTCAATTTGACTATTAATAAAAATTCGAAACTGCCGAAAGGGAAATAAAGTTCGTAATACTATTTATTGCATATCCAATGAATTATCCCAGTAAGAGAAAACAAGCACACAATCTAGTCCTCTTTTTTTTTCTCTCCCTTCGGAGGTCCTTGATATCTCCTCTTAGGTTTCTTCCCCCTCAGTACTCTTTGTCGTTCAATCTCCTCCTTGAAATCCTGGTGTTCGTCCCGGAAAAGACCGTATTCCCTCAGGCTCTTCATCAGCCATCCGATTTCCGGATGTCTAGGATAATACTCAACGATTTCAGGCCGTTTATTTATGGGTTTTTCACTGAACAGGGTGACGACTTTCATTGATTTATTATCAGTTGGTCTCAATACCTCACCGAAGATACGATTACTCAGACGATTCATTCGTTTTGCATAGCTCGTAGGTACCTTCGCCAAGTCTACGTACTTGGACATTATCCTGATATTTTCCTGTAGATAAATCATTTTTTTTACGGTCTCGTAAATAAGTAAAAGGTTATTCTTATACTTATTTTATATATTATTATCTATCTGTCTATTCTTATTTTATGAAAAAAAAACCATGTACTGGAAAATGTCATGGCAGAGAGCATGTACAAAGTGTCATGGACGGTAAGCCGACAAATGCATTCTCATGTGAACGTTTATGACGGCGGGGTATGTGTATTTGAGTCGATTTGGATTGATTTTAGCCTCCAATGAAGCAAAATTAATGCTACTTAAGCCAAGTCGGCAATATCAAACTAATAGAAACGTGATTTTTTTTTTTTTTAATATGAGAGGTTACCTCCTGCTCCAAACTAATTATTCATCAACAATTCCATTTATTCCAGTGATTCTTCCTACTAAAAAAAATACTTGTTTTCTGTTAATGGATTTTCTCTTCTGTTGATTGGATTTGATTTAGTGTTAATTGGACTTGGTTAAGGGTCACATGGGGGGAAAAAATTTAAGTGACTCCATATTAATTTTAAAATTTCAGTGAATACCAATTTCGTATCGCAGAAAATAACATTGAGCCCGTCGACTGGTCCCTCTGACAGCGGAACTGCTACTGAGGCAGTTACCGAGTCGACTTACGGCGGGCAGACAACCCCATTACGTGTGGTGCCCTCCCTCTCTTGGGGTGCAGTACTGCGATGCCGGTGGGGTCACTCAAACCCCCAGAACTGAGCCTCTACTTCAGTCAATCCTCTTTGATCTGGCGATTGGGCTACGCGGGCTACGCGGGCTACGCTCATGCGCCAATGCGTGGCGGTTCATTTGCTCTAGTTTCAAACTCATAAACAGTTCTCACCTCCATTTCTTCTCTATCCAACCACCAATTATTAATAATTAAATTAGCCCAAGAAAAAAATTGGATACAAAATAGTTGTCACTAGATGGTCATTCTGCTGAGTCTACACTTTTATTCTACCATAAAAAAAAACTAACTGATCCCATTTCATGCGCCCCTAATAATTCTCCGACAATTGTTCTTTGATGTTGAAGAGAGGTGTGAAAGCCTTAGGGGACAATGCAGCAAAGCCCTTTGAACATCAAAGAAACAATAAACCGTTTGATCCTCGGAAACAGCGGAAAAATCTGAAAAAAAACACCCTTTCGCCCTTTCACCCTTCCCATCTTCAGTCGATCCTTAAAACCAACATTACTAATCCCACCCTCCACCTCCACCCCCGCCCCCATTGTCGCCAATTGACAAACCATTAATAATCCATCCAAAAATCAGAAAAAGAGCTAAACAATTTATATCGATGGAGTTGATTATTATCCGAAGGGGTCTTCTGCATTCCCTCACAAGATGCCTCTCATCTTCAAAAACACCTTCCTCTCCCTCCGGTATGTCACGTCGGTCACGTCAGTAGGGCCAGGGCCGTTGGCGCCGTTTGACAGCTACTCAGGTCGAGTATCCCTGGAACACATCGAGGCGAAGGGGATTGAGGATTTGGGAGGATCTGCATAACACTTGGGAAGAATTTTCCAACTCGTGGATAAGTGGAGGATAAGTGAAAAATTTTCAAAATTATGAGATGTTGATTTGTTGACCCGGGGGTGGAAAAATCGAGAAGATTAACGATGAGAGCAGAGAGAGAGGAATTGCGGTACTACCACGAGAGTGACGGGGGCCCGTTTCTGAAGTGAGCCGACGTTGGTGAAGAGGAGTGAGACGAAGAGAGCGTTTCGTCGTGTGGAAAGGAGCCTCCTTCCATGGAATAACGAATAAGACGGAGAAAAAAGGAGTGAAAACATTGGTGGAAGAACGGAGAGGACTGGGACTGGAATGGACAGTCGAGGAGTTCGGGGAAAGGTAAAGACGGAGAAAACGAGACGGAATCGAAGGAGAACGCAACGGAACGACCTACGCGGAGTGGGAGGGAGCAAGGGGAGAAGTACGAGTAGCACGAGGAGAGGGAGAACCCGTGGAGGGAAAAAGAAGAGTGGGTAGTTGATGGCGACGATGTGCAACGGTGTGATGTTTGTTGGGCTCACGTTTTGTCTGTGATAACTAGGGGTATTTTTCACTTCCTAATAGACACTAAACCCCATTGAATATATCGACCCTCCCCTGATGGTGGCTCTTATCAGTGGCACGTGTAACGATGAATAATTGAAAAAAAAAAAGAAAGCTCGATGGCGAGGTGGTAGAAATGTTCAGTGGACCCCGAGAGTGTGTTCTGTGAGTGAGAAAGCGTTTGGTTTATTCTCGGGGATTTTTATTTAACTCTCGTACCATTAATTCCCTCATATCGTTCATATTATTCGTTGGGTTTTTTTAATGATATTGTGGTGATGAAGGAGTCTGAATGATGCTTGGTGGAATTATAAGGTGGAGAGGTATGCACAATCTTCATAGGTAGGAAGACGCCTCTGAAACGACAAGTAGTACGCGTGCCAACTGGTGCCAAACACGCTTGTATTTAGGGAGAGACATCGCCCTTGCCGTCGGCCAGGTAATTCATTCATTTTATATTGTTTAGAAAATATAAACTCAGCATTTGTTGATTTATTTTTGTAATGGAAGATTTATTGACGGATTTATTCACCATCAACTTAGCAACTCATTCTCGATTCGTTAAGATTTCGGGTTTATCTTTATAGAAGAGTCATTAAGGAGACGAACTTAATTTGTGCTGATTTGTATTGGATGTAATGATGAATAGAGGATTGAGAGGATAAAAGTGATGGCAGTGGTGGAAGAGGTTGAGGAGAGATACAGGCAAATAAAATCCTAATAACGAGTGAGAATAGTCGAGTGTGAAAATAATTATGTAGAGCAATAATTATAGCTGAGTGGTGTCTTTGGGCATGTCTAGCGACTCTCGAGCACGTGGTATGAAACGACGTGATGGCAATAGGGGGAGTTGAAACGGCTGACTGGGCGACAGTGGGGAATAAACCAGAATATATATACATACATATATACATAATCATCGTAAAAGACTTTTCACCGTCAATAGACTCAGTAGATCTCTATGAGTATGCTTTAGAAAACCACTAGATGTGGTTTTGTTGGGGGGTTACTTCACCGATTAGTCGGTTGATTAGTTGATAATTGGAGACGAACCCCTTGGGAGCTGAGGGTGTGTCACTCAATGAATGACTCAATGATCGAACTCAAAGGGAAGTACTCGTCATCAAAGTAAGAGGGAACGATTAACTTCAAACCTAGTGTTGCTTTGTCTGTGTCCAAGTAGGCCAGTTATGTCTGCTATTTCGACACAAACCGTCGACAAGCCAAAGCGCCCCATCAATTATCTTCCCCGGGGTAATGCTTTGCCTCGTTTATCGGCTCGTCGTCAGCCAAAGGGACATGGCAGGGCTAAATGTCGTCAAAGTGCCTTCCCAGTGGATTAACCTAAAAGCAACTTGACTCTAAACTCCTGACTCCTTTTGTTTCCTCCCACTTCCTCCTCAACAAATACAACTGTGGAGAGACGCAAAAAATGGGGGAGAACTGGCTTTTGCAACTACTCAAAGATTAATCGGCTGTTTTGTCAAGGATATTCTGGGGCTGTATACCCAAGAAAAAAAAAATACTCAAATTCCGAGTTCTCTACTCGAAAAATCATTCTTACCGAGGGGTCAATGGGGAAATTCTACTCGGCTCTTTTCATTCATTCTACTGAGTTTCCCCGACAATTGTGTAAACAATTCAGCCCCTAGCCGAATGGCAATTCCTGAAACTCGTCGATAAAAAAGTAGACATCCAAAATCAATTTCTACAATCAGCAATGTAACCTATCTATCTCACAGGGGGTATGAAAAAACGCATCTCTCCGTTCCCCTCAAACAACAACAAATCCAAATGAAAAGAGGAAAAATGCAATAAAAAATAATGTATATGGACGCGCGAGCCGAGACTCCTGAACGATAGTGTAGACTAGCAGCGTATAATGCGGGTTTATCAAGATCTCGCAATGCCAGCAGCGGAAATCATCAAAGAGTCCTTTGAAGTTTCGTTGTGTCCTCCTCGACTAGCTCGACCGTCTCTTTCCCACTCCGGCGGCATACTCGAATATACTCCGGGGCCGCTCGGGGCTTGGAGCTTGGAGCTTGGAGCTTGGGGCTTGGGGCTTGGGGCTTGGGGCTTGGGGCTTGGGGCTTAGAGCTTGGGGGGGATTGGAGCTTGAGGCTTGGCGCGACGCCACTTTATGTTCCCCCTCTCGAACCCCCCTTTCTACGTCACTTGCCCCCTCCCCGACCCCCCTCTCACTCTCACTCTCACTCTCACTCTACGGTATTCACCCTCTTACCCAGCGACCATATGTTTCTCTCGGATCGTACTTGGTCTTTTATGCCACAACTGCCCGTTCTGTGCCCCCCTTTTAACCTCCCTCGAATCGACATCGGTCAGTGTCGCAGACCATCTGAATTGCTGGCATTATGGAATCAGAGAAGTAAAAAATTACTTTGAAATCAAATGAGGCAAATGAAGGACATGTTCTTGAAATAAAAAATTGATTTTATCCTCTCAATTTTTCCGCCCTGCGTTTTCAATGGATATGGATCAGTGTCGCAAATTTCATAGTTTTCGAACAGAGACTGACCTTTGACAATAAAAACTTGAGGTACCACAACTTCCTTCCTTGCCCCATTCTGCAGTCATATTTCGGCCATTAAATAATGTTGTATTAATATAAAAAATTAACTGCTGATATAACAATCCCCCCCGCATTCATATTATTTGCGATTGTTTGGGGCATTTAATAGTTCATGTGGTGTTTAAGAAAGATTTCATGTACGTAAATTGTAGGATGATGATGATGATGATGATAATGATGATGATGATGATGATGATGATGGCGTGCAGAGGTGGTGGCGGTGGTGGTGGTGTTGGTGGTGGTGGTGGTGGTGGTGGCAGCGGTGGCAGGCGGTGGCAAGTCGAGCGGTGACGATGGGTCGGCAAAAGATGAAAGACCAAAGAGGCCCATAAGACCAACCTAAACTTGCCTTTCTTCCTTCTCTCCGCGGCACGCACACAATCACACCCCATGGCCTCCAGTAATGTTGAGAATTGACGGCTCGATATGCAATAAGCTTTAATATTTTCCATGCTCATCAGTGCAGGGGCACTTCTTCCACATTTATTAAATCATTTATTCCACTTTCCATTCGATTGAATGTCAAAGAAGACAGCGCCGTCCTTTTTATTTTTTCACTGAAACGTTATCTGCGAGGAGATAAGTTAATGCGTGTTTACTGATGATTCGAGTTAATCGGGTACATTTGATGTGGCTTTTTGAAATAAATGTTCAATCCCTTGGATTGATATGATCTCTATATACCGTTTTATTGGAATTTTTCTCAAGGTTTTTGGTTGTTATTGAATTTAGGGGAGAATTGACGACTGCAAATAGAAATATTGATGATCTTTTTCGTGTTTCATTTTGTTAATCGATATTTAACAAATTTTCCGAATTAGCTTTATCTTGTTAATCACTCCCTGAACAGCCATTAATTCAACGCGAACTCGAAGTACTTTAATAACTCATAATATTTGTGAAAAAATTTTTTTTACAAACGCTTGGCTTTTTTTTTTGTCATTAGGGGGAGTTAATATAAAAAAAAATGATGTGGGCCTAGGCTGGTGTGGTTGAAGTGGTGTCTTTTTATTCTCGTTTGAAAAAAAAGAAGCTTAAACATCTCGTCACCCGTTATAAAGGAGAGGAGTGAAGGTATTGGCATGAGTACAGTTGCAGGCTGGCCTGTGTTACTTTGCTGACTCTGTCGGTTTACTACGGGGCTTGACCAAGCGAGGCGTTCCGAAAACCTGTAATTACGGGCCCGGCAAACATCAAGCGATGCCGCCGCCGTACCAAGCCGCCATAGTCCTTATACTTGCTTTTTATTTTCCGCTTCTTTTCTCTTCTTTTCCCCGATGTGCCCCCTTGCACTCCCAGCCCCGCCGGTTTTCACTGACACTCGGCTTGGATACTCGCTTTTTTTTTCTTCTTCTTCTTCTTCTTTCTCTTCCTTTTTTCTCCTTTTTTCTCCTCTTGCTTTTGTTAGCATCTCAATATCTCCCTCTCATTTCCTCTCCTGCCCTGTCGGGGGTACACTTTACCTGCGTGTGCATAGACGCGCAGTCATTTCATCTCTTCTTCTACCTTCCTACCTTCTCCATCAGCATTTCCACCCCTTACTAAAAACTCCGCCACAAATTACATTAAACGTTATACGCGGTTAGACTACTCTTTTTAACAATCTCCATCAAAGCCGTGTTGCTCTTTATTTTCACTGTAAATTAAATAAATTAAAATGTTAGGATTTTTTCGAACCACTGGGGATTGAATAACTTTCCACAATTACATGAAATATATTTTGTCGCTTTGATCGTTCAATTGTTAGTTTAATTACTGGAGAATGTAGACGTTCTTTGGAGTTGGTGCAACTGAGGGTTGACATCACAGATGATTTAATAATCTGTCGGATAAATATCCTGGGTAATTTATCGGAGGAGGTGAGGCGTATTGGCTTCAATTCAATTTCACAATGAAGTTGAATTTACCAATACTTTCCAATAGTTAAGACTAATTTTGTTTCTGCAGCACCATTTCCCAAAATACCTTTTCAATTTTCCTCTAATTCTGATACAATTATCTTTTACAATTTTGACTTTTTTAATTTTATCATATAAAATTGTACAAGACTTGTTCAATGTTCCTCTTATCGTGTCAAAAACTGTTAAAATACTTCAGTACCTCAATTATCCAAAATTAGAAGAAAAAAAAACGACACTTTTCCATTCATACTGAACAACCCAAGCAATTGTTGTTACCAATTTTCCTCGAACGATGGCAGTGCACACTGGTCGGTAGAGTGGAAAACTGTCCGGATAGCTCATAAGAATGTATCGCCAGTATGATGTCCAGATCGTGGGATTGAAATGTCTCTTAAAAGAATCTCCTTGCATGAAGATACGGTGGTGTTTTACTGGAGTTTGTGTTGTCGGGGGTTCTAATTACCGCATTCATTGGGGAAAAAAATTGTGAAGGCATCCTTATTCAGAAGTGGCATCTAATCAACTGCGATGTTGTCGTAAGCTGTTGCATCTATGCGTATTTAACGGATTTAACCGACTGAACACAACATCCACCACAAACACAGTACAGCTCATATTTTACTTTTTATTTATTTTCCCCATTTATATTTGTTGCTCTCTGCCCTGATCTTCTTATCTCCTCCCCTTTGTAATTAATTATTGAAAACCAATGCCTTTTAAATATGCCCTCCGACGCCTTGGCTCCGTTTGAGGTTCGATTCACTGTTTTGTTTATTCAACAACTCACTCTCTCATCGTCATCCCATTATTCTTACAATGCAATGTTATTATAAAAAAATATATTCTGTTGTCAATTCCTCTAACCCCAACCCCTTCATCTACCCAACTGCATCCTCATTTTCCATCCACATCATTGCAATACAAATCCCCTTGAATTGTTTAAATTAAAGTGGTTAGGCACCAACAGCATCAACTCACCTAACTACAGAATTGTTAAAGGGTTAAAAAAATAATGAAGTATTACCACTTTGTCACTAGTTGAAGCACCCCTTTTAGGTTAAGCCCAGGAGCTCCTCATTTCCCTTGAAACATGTGATAAATAGCAAATGGTTTATTATTAATCAGTAGCATTGTTATAGAATTGTTCCAACAACGCCAAACAATCATCCAAATCCTTATTCTGGAAAATCTTCAAGTGATTTGATGGATTAGAGAAGAACTAGGTGAAGATTAGCCTAAGATTTGTTGCTATTTAGTTCTAATGTCAAGAGTAGTCGAGTGTAACAAAAAATTATCAACTTCCCTTATCTAGATGTAGTACAACAGTGGTTTACTAATCGATCATGCCGGATTGTTGGATTCTCCCTCTGTAAACTACCATTTGGCTCTCAACAGAGTGCTTCTGCGTGAATCATACCAGGATGCTGGCCAGGCTCAGTTTGATTCCAACCGTTCGACCGATAGTTTCGGTATCGTACATCACCATTAAGTCTTGAAAAATCAATCAGCATTTTTTCAAATGTGTTGGAAAATTCTCTAAATAATTAACTGAACTCCAGGCTCCCCTGAATCCTCTGTATTCATGTACAGAGTTACAGAGCAGTCATCACCTTTTGCACTCATTTAAAGTCATTAACTTTAACATTAATTTTATTTGTGAAGTTATCCAAGAGAATTCATACACCATGGTACGTAGAAATCATTGATATTTTACTGAGAAATCGGTGCAGACTCTTCTATTCCGATTTTTTTCACTCTATTCCGTTCATCCAAGTGGATGCGATCGAATATGACAGCCGCTCTATTCAACTAATGGAATCATAATTCCAGGGGTCATATTTCCAAGTTTTCATTCATAAACTTCCATTGTTTTATTCTCTACTCTTGCATTGTTCTTGCCTTCTGCTCTTCATCAATCATGCCTCAGCTTTGAGTAGATTTTGACACTCATCTCGTGTTGGTTGTTGCTTTTGAATTTGGAAAAGGAGGTTGTTGAGGTGTTGATGAGCGTGAGATGCAACAGTGTCGATGCAACAGTACTCCACTTGTTTCGAAAAACCTCGAGTATTTCTCTAATCTACAACCTGTAGCATGTATAAAATACCCTCCAGAAAATATGCCAATTTTTTGGGTAGATTCCCGGGGGTTTTTTTTTTCTTTCTCTCTCCGAGTCATTTGGCACATCACTTCCCTCAATTTTGAGTATAACATTCAATAGATTTTGCTTTAAGATTTTCAACGATCAATACAAGAGACAAAGAGGTAAAAAGTTCATTCTCAGTACACCAATGGGAATACATCGAAGATGAAACTTGGTGCGCAGTCCAAAAAACCCATTAATGCTACACCCATTGTCCAGTACTACAGCAGCAATAGGGCCAAAGCCACCCCAGCCATTTTTTTCAAAATACTCTGGGGCAGAGTATATTTATAATTGGTTATGATTCATACTCATAACCCATAGAATTCATATAAAATACTCGAGAGCCTTTTGTTATAGCATACCATGTACCAATCCAAATCTGTTGCTGCGCAGTAACAGGGATCGATAACCATTTTAAAAGCCAGACTGGCATCAACCATCGCAGAGGGGTGTATTTCCACTTAAAATCAATCTATCCATCGTCCAAACACTCAATCCGAATTTTCAGCAAAATTTCATTGTTATTTGTTTAAATAATCCAACTTTTAGACAATTATCATAGCTATGCTACATCAGGGGATTACCACATCGAAGGTTTAATATTTTTTAATGAGGAAAATCCTTTGTTGTTTCAGATTTGGACTAGCCATGTCCACTAGGAAGCGAAGGGGATTAAAATCTAGTATAAAAGTTGAAATAGTCATAAATAGCTATGACAGATAGGATGAGTGGAAGTCGGAGGAGTGAAGTACGTTGCTTCAATGAGAACTCTCCAAGGCCTCCCGTACCTGGTAAGATTAAAGAAAAATTCTTTATTTGACTTATCGAGTCGTTTTTGGGGCAATTAGCAGAGGACCAAACGGTCGGTTGGAAATTGTCATCATTTTATTCGCATCATTTGAATGGTACGCCAGGTGAATCTTCATCATCTTGATGGCTTTGCTGATGCACTTCTGTACTGGGCACCACGCAACGCTGTCTGGCGGGAGTTTTTGAATCGATGGCGTTGCGCGTTCACCACGCGGCGTTGTGTTTTTCCATTTATTTGATTCTCTCGCACGGAAAAATAGATTCAGTGACAATTGCGGTTGTGCAATTTCAATTTATATTTCTAGTGTTTGTTTTTATTATTGAATATTTAATTGCCATTTGCAGGAGAAGAAACTGGAGGATATAATATTGGAAGAATACCTCCGCAGAGCCCTGCTCTAACACCTAGACGCTCGTTATTGGCTCGCTCCTCCAGTGGCATCTGCGATGCTTCAGCACCGATGGGATTCGAACCCGAGGGCTGTTGCGATTCGTCGATCATGGAGACCAATTCACCACCCGCTTGTCTCAGATGGGCGACCAACCTCAATTCGCTGCTGCAGGATAGGGAGGGACTGCAGTTGTTTAGGAAGTATTTGGAACAAGAGGGAACATCACACGCCAATCCTCTTGATTTCTATTTTGCCTGCGAAGGTCTCAATCAGGAGCATGATAAGGATAAGGTCCATCAGTTGATCAAGGCTATCAATAGACGGTAAGTTTTTGTTAAATAGCTCTTTATCTGAGAGAAGTTGTAAAATTTCTCTCACGATGATTACTTAATCAATTAATTTTGACTTGATAGGTTTCTTCAAAAAACACAATTGGCGATCCCCGAGCACATACGGAAGGAGGCGAGTCGTCGTGTAAAGGAAGGGAGAGCTGACAAAACAGTATTCGACGCTGTGCAGCACGAAGTCGAGCGTGTTATAAAGGAAACTATTTATCCAAATTTTCTAAGTTCAGAAATTTATTTGGGATATGTATCGTCATGTCAAAATGCCGATTCTGCTGGCTGTCCAAGCTCCACGTCGAGCCGAGAGATGTCAATATCGTGTGGGCCAGCTCTACTGCCAACTCTCCATGAGGATGCTGAATTTTTTGCTGGACATTATTCCCATTCAGCGTGTGGAACACCAGGTGAATTAAGACTGACTAGGGATGTCCTTATGAGGACACAACAGACTAGAGCAATGGATCTGAGGCCTAAAACTGAGGCACTTGCTGGGTAAGTCTATTTCTTCTTTAACATTTTTTTTTCTCACAATTTGCATCTTGCATTAGTCACCCTGATTCGTATTTTGAATGTATTTTCTCATTATTTCATTGTTTGATCTTTATTTTTATTTTTTGATTAATTTATATTTTTTTCCTTTGGTGTTGTGTCGTTCCTTTGAATAGAATGTACTTGCACCCTACGACTAGTCCATACCATATGCGATCCCGAGCACCTCTTCAGTATTCGTCATATAATCCAGTATCGCGACAGGACTCAGAGTTGCAGAGTTTGAGCAGTGATGCCAGAACTGAATCTGACAATTTGTCGTTGACTGATAACTCAGTGTAAGTATATATTCTATTAAGTGATTTTTAATTTCCTCATTGACGTCGTAATTACGGAGCTGAAAGATTGAGGCAAGTATGTGGGTAAATGATTTCATGCGTTCTGTGTTATTTTTTTTTTTCTATAAGAATTGAAGTATATGCAGTGTGGAATTTTTTATTAAATATTATTATGAAAATTGTACATTGAACATCATAATCTCTGTGGCCATTGAAGTAAAAAAGGATAATTTCTTATTCTTTTACAGAGATGGAATGTCAATAGGACGATCGAGAAGTGTAAGAAGACATGGACGTGAATCCAAAGCATTGAGAACTATGGGGCCCATCCATAGTGATCCAACTCTCTACACAGTAATACCAAGAACGCAACGTGTAACCAAGGACATATGTGTACCAACGGATCCAGCTGTATTGGGACCGATTCTCATTCAGAAATTAGAAGCAGTGAGACGTGAGCAGGAGAACGAGGAGAAGCTAAACAGGCATCTTCAAGAGGCTGACTCGATCTGCATGAATTCTATGGAGGGCCCCCCATCCAGTGCCCTAGCTGATGCACTTCGTGAAAAGCTTCAGATTGAGGACGACGATCAGGCCATTCTAGATCAGCATGTGTCGCGTGTTTGGTCAGATCCCACCCCCTCGAGATCACCGAGGTTCGAGTCACCCAGGGGACACTCGCCAGAACGTTGTAAAAGAAATGTATCAACGCACAATTATACACGGTCTTATAAACAGCGAAAGGAAAAGGATGTGTTTTCTACATTTTCTGCTGATAGCGGTAATATCCATGACTTCCCAGAGGGCAGTGATTTGGCTACTATGGGCTCTTTTAGCTCCTTGGGCTCGCATATTCCAAAGTCCAAGTCTGTTCCTTCAGAGTATGCTGATTCTTTGCATAAACCTGAGCTTTATTATCAAGGTTTGTTTATCATTAAACTTAATTTTATTTAGTAAATATTTTATATTATCAAATTGAAACAATGAATTGGTACGATTTTCATTTTTACAGGTCACGATCAGAGATTCAGGAGAGCAGACATGTCCAGGAGATCAGCGACCAAGAAATCCATGACAGAATTAACCGACAGTGGGGTGAGTGTTGTTAGTGATGTACCTCCAGTGCCAGTAAGCAAGGAGCATCGTCTTCACGCGTGGTTGAATCAGAATGATAAGAAGGGCGATGGCAAACATCATCGACATGGAAAAAAATACGGCTCTAGGAGTGGCTCGCTGGAGAGAGCCGGTAGGGAGTCCTGGGGAGTTCCTTCACAGCCGTTTGTCACTGATCCAGGAATGCCACCTCTTCCACCTCCTAATACTGTAAGTTCGGACCACAGAAAAATCTTAATTAGACATGTACCATTGAATTAATCATTCATTATTTATTAATTTATTATTTAGGCCATGCAACTGGAAGAAGCCAGACGACGACTAATGGAGGAAGACCGAGCACGCGGTGGTGCAGGGAGTATTATCGCTCCATCAAGCTCTGGTGCTACTAGTAGAAGATATCCTACAGCTCCTTCCAATACATCCACTCTGCGCAAGAAACAGGATACGGGTGATTTTACCACCGCAATATTCTCATTCTGCGATGAGAACGTACCCTACAGAATAAAAATCCCAGGGCATAATGTGACACTCAAGCAGTTTAAAGAGTATCTTCCGAAGAGAGGCAGCTACAGGTACAAAGCACAGATGAATAAATCAATAAATGTCAAACTTTTCAGTGAAATAAATGGATAACTATAAATTCTGTTCAACGAATAAAATTTAATGGCTGTATTTTGATTTTTATCCCCAGGTATTTCTTCACAACCGAATGTGAAGATGTCGATACAAAAATTATTCAAGAAGAGATCACCGATGACACAGAAGTGTTGCCACTTTGGGAGGGCAAGATAAAAGCCCAAGTCAAGGCCCTCGAATAGAACTCCACCTCTCGTCCATACACAGCCGATCAAAAAATGCAAATCATTATTTATTATCAAACTGTACAGTATATATACACATATATTTTTTTGTTTACACGTTCATAATGATTTGAAGTGAGGATGCCCAATGACATGTCATTATTTCTCATTTCTTATCTTTTATTTCATAAATTTTTAAGAAATTATTTTTAGAGATCCATCGAGCCAAGTAGGATCACAGCATACTTCTACTCATATATATATATATATATATACATATATATATATATATATATATATTTTTTTTTGTTTTTTTAATCAAATCGGAGGCTTCCCACTGTCTTTATTTCCGGCCGAATGTACAAAATGAGTGCGAAGTAGATTTTTCGCCTTTATAAGGCACTAGAACTTGAAATACGCAGATTAGCTGGTAAACTTTTTTTTTTTGTAGGAAATAAGATTGAGGTGAATATTACGTATATCATTATGTATATTTATCACAAAAATATTATACAATGATATACATGTTGCGTACGTAATATTCAACGATTGAAATTGAATGGATTGACGTGAGAGAACGGGATTTATAAAAATTACGTGCCAGAGGAAAACAAGAATAAAAGTCATGGGATAAAATTTATGAGTGCAGAATGTGCAGATAAATTTCAAAAATAATAGTTAGATAAAACGATGGGTTATGTGAATGGGCAGCCTCAGGGGGAAAACTGATCAATTACATCATGATTGCTCAGAGATCATGAAGTTTTTTTTTTTTTTTGGGAGGCTAAATATTGTGCCTTTTAGGATAAGAGTTGAATTAAGACTTAGTAAGAATACAAATCGATGAAAATAATTACAGAAAATTTTCAAATTTCACTAATTCAGGGAATTCAACAGTCTATAAGAATTTTATTGATTTTCGAGGGGAATTAATTTGTACCTTTGCTGCATATCGATTTGAAGACGTTTTAAATACTTTTAAATTTTATTGGTACAATTTTTTTTTTATTTTCTGGCTTATTGTATTCAGTGTACAATAGAGTATTATTGCATTTTATTATCGCATTGTGAATCTATTTGGTTAGTAAAAATGACAGCGAAAGTTAACAGTCAATTCGTCAATGACCCCAGACTTAGGTATTAAATGAAGAATGGCCTAATTGTGGGCCTCCATTACAGTCTCATGACAGTTCATTACAGTTTCTATTTCTTCGAGCTTCCAATTTGTTTCCATTGTTTATGATGATGTCCAGATTAAAGTTGTTTGCGATTTAGGAGGCGAATCAACGAACAAACTCTTCTATGTCAAATTTTTAATCTGACACTTATTTATAGTGAGGTTATCGTAAAATCATGTTTTTTACTCACTGATTAATAGTAAAACATTGTTCAAGTGTTTCTGTATCTCACAGATGAATTGATTTTTTTAATGATGAAACAAGATATTTCAATACATTTACCTATTATTTTTTATTATTAATAATATCCTGATTATTAATTATTGTATAGAGAATGGATGGGGAGAGAACCAATTGTCAGAACAAAGTGATGAAATAATAATGATGCAGCGATTTTCACCATATTTAAATGGAAACTGAGTTATTTATTTCGCAGACATATTCAGCCCTTTTCAGTTTGTTTTTGTGACTTTTTCGTGCATCAAGATGACGAGAGTTTATAAAGAAGAATTTCGAAATTCTCTGGTGGAAATTGCTTCTCATGTAGTCCACATTGCCTCACCTCATGGTAAAATGATTGCAATATTACCCATAATTGAACTAGTGAAGCTGTTAAACATACTCATTGCAATATTTCGATACATTACAATAGACCGAGTGAGAATAGTCGAATGGTGCAGAAGACTTGCAGGAATTTCTTCTGATAATATAAACGACGCGAAGAAACGAAATGATTACATTCAGCTACTGAAAATAATGGTCCGGGGGGGACAACTGCGTGGAATATTCCGACGATCTTTACCTGGAGAGAAAATTCCTCCACTCGGTGAAGCAATTGGAATTAATCTTATTGAGGAAGTATCTAAGGATTTGCCGAGGCCAGGACCGATTGCTCCTGTTATCTCCAAAAAAACTCTGGATGGCACAGCTTATATAGCCATTAATAAAATTCATGATAAAGGATTACTCTGCTACATGGCTGTTACACCTGATGGTACAATCGATGATTCAGAGGATGATGACAATTCACCCATTGCCGTAGCAAAAAAATAAATCATCTCGACAATTATTTAACATTATTTCCCTTCCTTCCGATGTTTTAACTTTTATCTTGTTGAGCGTATAAAAACGAGTTAGCCCTCGTGGACTGATTTTCGATTTTTTCATTTTTTGAAAAATTTCCCCTTGAAAAATTTTCAAAAAAAATTCACCATCCACGCAATAATGAAAATTACAAGAAAAGGTGAACGGATCTAAGTTGCGTATCGCCCGTAGATCCGAAATGAGGGAGAATGAGTCCTCGTGGAGTGACTTTAAGATTTTTCACTTTTTGAAAAGTTGATACGGGAAAAATTTTTTGAAAAATTCACTAACGGCGCAATAATGAAAATTCCCGGGAAAAGTCAAGAGTTCTGAGTAGCGGAACGACCGCGGATCCGTGAATACCTCCTCAATTGTCATGCTCTCCTGATACTTTTTTGAAAATTTCGAAGTTTTCAATTTCAAATGACATTAACCCCGTCCAGTGGTCTGTCTGACAGCGGGACTGCTACTGCGGCAGTCTGCTACCGAGTCTGCTGAGGGGCAGTCACCCCAGCATAGCGTGTGGCCCCCTCTCTCCCTTGGTGTGCAGTACTACGATGCCTTTGGGGTCACTCAAACCCCCAGAATTGAACCTCTACTTTTGTCAATTTTCTCTGTCCCTAAGTCTCAAGCCATCTTGCCCGTAAGATGACAATGCAAAATTATTTAGAGGAGAAAAAGCGTAAAGCTGCAAGTTCTGAACGCGTTTACTCATTCGTTTATACTTGATGCTTAATTACGGAATGGACGGGAAAAGATCGATGAAAATGGTAAGTATGGATTTTTTATTTTCCAGTTTACATGGGTTATCTCTCTCCTGTTCCACTTGGGGTAGACATATGTTTACGTCAAAACATTGACTGGCTGTTGACATAACCTGTTCTCTCTCGAATTTCTTCTTGTCATCCACACAGAATGAAAATATTAAGATGGTTGCATTTCTTTCATATTCACAGGATCCGTTGTCACCAGGTCCATGTTTGGACATCAGCGATGACGATCTCGTCTCCATATCCGTCCGGGACTTAAATCGACAATTGAAACTGCGTGGATTGTCCCGAGATGAAATAGTTCGCATGAAGCAACGCAGAAGAACTCTAAAAAATAGGGGGTATGCTGCAAGCTGCAGGATTAAGAGGATCGAGCAAAAGGACGAACTGGAGACAGAGAAGTCACAGGAATACAGGGACATGGAGAACATGCAGGACGACAATAACAGGATGAGAGAAGAGGTCGAATCAACGCACGTCAAATTTATGGCCTTGAAAAAATTTGCAATGGAACAGAATATTCCCATTCCGCCTGAATTGGAGACGCTCTAAACAACTCGATAATAATATTAAGTTATTTTCAATAATCATCGCAATCGTTGCATTTGCATTGTCTTCTCTATGGAGAAAAAATCTACCCATTGATTAACTATTCAATGAGAAACAGAAGTATTCTTAATATTAAACGGTGCTGGGGAGGAGTTCATTAGCTATCACTTAGAAAACACAAGACTTGGATATTTAATTTATGTGTTTCATTATATTCATCAAGAATTCATCAAAATACGAATTAACTGGCTAACTACGTGTACATTTATTGAGTTGCCCAGTAACCTATACTTCTGCTTATCTGTGGTGGAATTGGGAAAGCTGAAGTCCTCAGGAAATGACATTAATCGTGAGACTTCTTTGGGAGTGAAGTACCTCAGCCTCAAATTCCTTATCAATTCCAACCGTTCCTCAGGATCTTCCGTATTTTCGATTATACTAATGGATTCATCAACTCTAGATTGAGGCAAGGGGGAGTAAACTGAGCCAGTTCCCTCTGCATATCTGGAATAAGCCTTTGTGAAGCAACAGGAACCAGCGGAGTCGGGACCCCTCACGTCCAACACGTTCAAACGTTTTTGCACAGTTTCTTCTGATAAAACATATCTTTCCAATTTATTTTCATCGGTTTCATCATCCTCTAAAATATTTTGGATTCTCAGAAGATTAATTTTATTCAAAGTTGGAAGGATTTTGCGGATACTTTCAGGGATGTCTTGAACTAATGACGAGTCATCGAAAAGGAAATTCAGATTTTTTCTCTTAGCTATGAGATAGTATCTTTTCCTACTGTTAGGAATCCCAAATTGATTGGGGCTTAGGATTAACTCTTTATAGTTGAATGTATCCTGTATTGTCTGGATTAGGGAGTCTCGAGTCTCTGATTTTTCGAAACCCATGACGTTTTCCATCAGAATGACTTTGAGAGTCTCGAGGTGTTTTATGATTTTTAGGACTTGGAATAGAGAACACGTCCTGCGGTCGTTTTTGTCTTTCTGTAGTCCGAGTCGTGTGAACGGCTGGCAAGGAGGACTCATGAGTATTCCCTCAATATTCAGTTTTTTTAGCTCCTCAGGAGAAATGGACTCGATATTTCGACTAATAATTTTGTCTGAGGGGAAATTATAACGATATACTTCGTTGGCTACGGTGTTTATGTCAATGGCTGCGATTATTGTGCCATCAGCTTCGCTTTCTGTAACAGAATTTTTTAGATTTATTTAGGTGGTCCAGATTTAATGTCTAGGTCATTGCTGCAAATATTATGAAAATACCTTTTAATGCATAATGCATGCCTCCGATGCCACTGTACAATTCAATAATTCGCATTGTCGTCAAATTAAGAAGAATTAAAAAATAGCGCGACCTTCGGTGTTGCAAGAACTTGGACTGGTCGCTAGTAAACTATCAATTAGGGGTAGGGTTATGGCTTGGATGCGCCCAAAGAGGATTGACTAAAGTAGAGGCTCAGTTTTGGGGGTTTGAGTGACCCCAGCGGCATCGTCGTACTGCACCCCAAGAGAGGGAGGGCGCCACACGCAATGCTGGGGTGTTTTTTTTTTATTAACCAAGTTTTTATTGCAATGCTGGGGTGTCCATCAAGTTGACGGAATGAATTTTATTCTCTGCTGTACGAATGCTGTTTGTTTTTCATTTGTTTAACTGAAATTTAGCCGACTGTAGCGCGTGCGGAAGAGGGAAACCACATCTTGTGGAATTTCAATGAAAAAAATTATTCAATATGTTGAATATATACCACTAATGAATTTATAAATTTAAATAAGCGCGTTGTCCTAGCGGTAACGTGCTCGACTGGTACGCCGGCGGCCCGGGTTCAATCCCGGCATCATTAATTTTTTTTTTTTTTTAATAATTCCAATTTTTTTTTTGTTAATGGCAAATCAATTGAAATATCGTTTAAAAACTGAATATTTGAAAATCGGAAAGATATCCAGTAAAATTGAAAAATTAGCAATTTTTTAAAACGATACTTTTGCAACATATATACTCCTAAAGAAATTATATTGTTATAATAGTTCGTTATCCTAGCGGTAACGTGCTCGGCTAGCACGCCGACGGCCCGGGTTCGATCCCGCCG